CACGAATATGCGCCGCCGTTTTTTGGCACACCTTATCATACATAAATTCTACACATGTTGTGAAAATTTCAGGTCAAGGTCGTTCAAGGTCAGGTCACCAGGTCACTTCAAGTAACCTCACCTCATAAAATATTTCAATGTATGCCATAGCTACACTCAGTGACCGATCGCTTTGAAACTTTCAGCGATTGATCAAATTAACAGTATGTACAGTAGGTCTACTAAAAAAGTCCCCCGCTCCAGAGGCGGCCGGCCGGCCGAACCCCCGGATTCCAGCCCCGACTCTATTGCGCAGGCCGCGGCAGCGACACGGGTCAGGTCGCGGCGCCCGGCGAGTGGGTCAGTTGGCGGCGGCCGGCCGTGGAGTGAGGACGCCGTGTGTGGGGCGCAGAGATGCCGCAGTGCAGAGGAGGGGAAGATAATGACTCTGCACGATGCCGGAAATGATGCCTTTGTGATCTAAATTAAACACCTGCAGTGTATATCCTCCCTTGCCCCATTCCTATTTTATCATAATCCTTCAATAATCCGTAATGGCCATTCAACGCAAGCAAGCAAACAAAACAACCCGTTTAGCGGCGACATCATCTCGGATAAAAAAGCGACAGTGATGATTAGAATAGACTTAGCGCGAGGGCAAATCGAGGGGTACAACTATACATATGTATCACATACCGAGTATTTTATTCCCATCTAGCGAATTAAGATTGGGGATCTTGTCCAACAAGTCAGCAGCCGTTCTAGACACAGATAAATGCTTTGTTTTCGGTCGCATCATTATCTGCAATAATTCGAAGCGAGGTTTAACCCTCGCCGGCCGAGAAGAAGGGGTGGATGCCGCCACCATGTATTTTTTTGCGGTAGCTCAAAGCACACTGATGATAGAAGGCTGACATTTCACATGCCTTACATTTCATTCATGCCGGATCACTTGACATCAACCACGTTTTCAGGTCAGGTCACTCCTAACTATGACGTCTTAATTAGGTAAACCTCTGCACGGTTGTCGGTTATAAAATGATGCAATCCGCAATTCACTTAATGTCATATAAGCATAATGGGGAAATATGGAAACTGTTAATTTGGCGTCGGAAATGATCTGAAACTATACCTCAAGCACATGAAATCGTGACTTCATACATTCTTGGCAAGGTCTAATGCTTCACTTTTGCATTGGTCACCTTGCGTGACGTCATTTATGACGTCACTAGGGTCATACGAGTGCTTCGTCAATAACTCCCGATCAAAATGAGCTAGCCAGTCGGGACAGCCATCAATGGACTTTGCAAGACTTGCCGAATCAAATGTTATGCAACATGTCCTCCTTTCAACAGCTTCGTGACCTGTGTTGCTCTAACATGACATTAACCTGAGGTAAACATCCTAAATTGCTTCACCTAAGCAAAAAAGCATGTAAATCGACGCGTCTGAGAACAGAAAACACGATTGTATCGAAATGACGATAATGCGTTTAGTTTTTTACCAAAAACCGATCAAATGCCTTAGGGGCCCTTGACCTGTCCTAAGAGGTCACTGATATTTTAAAATGGGGTACCAGTTGCTGCGTCACGTAACGACGCAAGCGCTCGTTTTTTTCCGCGAGGCTCTAGCAGCTAGCTCAATTATAGGAGCTAAACATGGGGTCGGGGAATCGCTCCCTTCTCACTCACTATTTGGCCGGGATAGTGTTTGCAATTATTGTTAAAATCTAGCATTTTAAGATTTCAAATGGCCCATTTTTTCCCGCCCAAGTCTTTCAATTCAAGGTCATAACACCAGGTCACGTCAAGTGACCTTACCTCAAGGAAGGTGCCTGTGCTCATCATATTCATATCTAAATACACCGACTAACCGATCGCTTCAGAACTTTCAGCGATTTTAATGGGCAACAGTATAGGTATGTATTTGAAACGTTTACTTTGCAAGTTTGACATTGTTGACAGAAAGGCCGGGTCAATTTTGAGATCGCTCAAGTCAATGGGAGAAAATTGAATTGAACTGCGCTTTTTTGGACAGAACGCATAATAAACACTCTGAAAACATGTGGTGCTGAGATACAAAACTGAATGAGAAAATTGTTTTTTTGTTGGGGGCCATCTTTTTCGGTCTGAAAAGGCCCTTGCAGAGCCATGACATAACTATGCTCTGGTGTAGTAATTGGGTTGTGCGAGCCAGCGACAGTGATCTGCGGAAGCGAGACTGTTCCCGTGGGACGATTGCCCTGTCGGGACGGTCCAGCCGTCTCCCAAACGGTCACCCGAAGACGATTATGTGTCCTGGAATGGATCCGACATCAACTACTGGTTGGCTGGTGGGGTGACCTCCAGTCCAGAGAGGGAAGCATGAAGACTAGGGGCGATGCGGATTGGTTTTTCCTGAGGATAGCGAGGACGGAAGGAATCTAGCACCCTTGAACCTTCCTTATACTGAATGTATCTCAAGCTGTTAAATCTCCTAAGCGTTTTTTCTCGACATCGTCAAGGTATCATTAACAAAAATATGAAATCCGGGAGGATAAATTAAATATAGAAATTGTGGCCAACAGAACATTATCAGTTGCGTTCAACATACTCGTAAGCATGTTCACACATCCAGCTTACATATGAGCCATGTAATAATTATTTTTGATAGACATGCTTGAGTTATGAAATCATCTGAAGTGTTTGTAAAGTTCCACGATACGGATCTAATATCCTGCTATGCATTATGACCATTTCTGGTCAGGTCATGTCTTTGAACATAGGCCAAATTTTTCAAATGACCTTTAAAGATCAACTTTTGATTCATTCGAAGCGTTTTGATAAGAGGAACACGAGGCTGGTAAAATTAATTTCATGCAAGTTTTAAGCTAAAAACTTTTTAGTGTTTGTGGAAAAGCAATTGGTTTTCTCATAATACCTACCGATGGTGGCAACTGGCAGTTGTTGTTATTTACATGCTAAGCCGTTGACCTTAATTAAATCTGACAATATTATTCAGACATAGCAGTAAACGGGCTGATTGTTGTGTTAAGTTAGACTCTTTCGGTCGATTTCAGAGTGGGAAAGATGATAGGAATTAGGGGGAGACAGGGGGCCTGGGCGGGAGTCCTGGACCTCATGCTCCGCTGGGGCCGAGCCCATCACGTGGGTTGGATTGCACTGACACATGGATAGCTCTGGGCGGTGTTTCACGGCCCCGCGCTGCAGCACGCTGCGCTGCGCTGCTGCATTGTTGCGGCGGTTGATATGAATTCGGCTCCACGCTAGCGTTGCGAGCTTCCGAGTCTGTTGATGTTTCCATGGAAATAGGAAAACCAATGCACCGGTGCGCGCAACGCACCCTGTCTAAGCAAAATTTTACCATCGATGACCTCTAGTGACATGACCTCTGGCTATGACCCGATCCAAAATTGGCTGAAGTATTGTTTTTCTTCTTTTTGCTACTTTTGACGCTACTTCGAATACCACTTAAATGCCCAAAGCTGAGTTAAAAGAATGATGCTCAATCCCCATTTCCCCTCCAACAGAGCGTGAGAGTCTAGGCATTCCTGTGGGGCACGGGCTCTCATAATCATTGTGGCCATGAACATCTACTGCCATTCTTTAACACCGGTTTCGCTGCGCTGAGCGGTGGCCGTCCCGTTTGTTGGATTCTACAGCTGGCTGGCGGAGAGCGTTACCGGCCGCCCGTCCACCGCCCGCGGGCCGGACCGAGCGGTCCCGCTGACCCTACCTGACCTGAGCCCGGCGCGATATGGGACAGGCAGACGGGGGTTCGGCTCAGCGAATGCAGCGCCCACTGGTGCTGGGGACTTTTTTAATAGACCTACTGTACAAAATTTATCTATCGGAATTTTCATATCGATGACCTAAGGTCAGGTCAATTTCCCGACCTCTCCATTATATGTCAATGGGAGACAATTCAAAACCGCCTCTTTTGGACGAAAGTCATTCTAAACACTCTCAAACACCGAATTACAAGTAACTATATGTCACACTGAACGTAAAAACGGCACCCATAACCTCTCGTTATGCCCCTGAGGTCATCTCAGGTCACGAATGGTATCTCAGTTTTTCGCGAATAACTTATGATTGAGGAAGCTAGAGCGATGAAAAATCCTTAGATGTATTCAGCTCGACGATACGGATCGACCGATATACAACATGAGTCATGACCCTTTCAGGTCAGGTCATGACCTTGACCTTTGGTCAAATTTTATGTTGACCTTTCTAGGTCAAATTATAGTTCATTCGATGCGTCTTGACGAGAGGAACACGATGCCGGTAACCGAAAGCTCGTGTATGGCTTGAGTCAAACGTTTTGCAGAAAACCCGTTTCCGAAAAAATCGTCTATTTTGGCAGTTTTTGCCCCCTGCAGGCAAGACCGTTGACGTTAGGTCAAATCCGAGAGGATTAGTCAGAAAGAGCGTTATTAGGGCTATAAAATGCGCTCTTCCGCGGCGGCGCTGTAGCTCTATTGGTTCCCGAGTTATGCGTCGGGCGTCGGCCTCTTGAAAGTTGTCGATATTCGACCTCAAAATCGGTGAAATTTGACCTTCAATGGCCTCTGGTGACCTGACCTTTGACCTGACGAAAAATGTGACCGAAGTGATATCGTCATTAGTTTTTATGCTTTCTCGAACGCCGCTTTCCCCGTATCGCTACGTGGTCCAGGAGCCGAGTTAGAAGGGGGGTTGTTCGCAGGGCGTGTAATTCCAGGACCCCTCAGCGGGGCGCGGGTTAACTAGCGCACCGACGGGGGTCGGTTATCCGACCTCCCAGTTTTTGCATCCACCCCCGTCGGTGCGCGGGTTAGGCGTGTTACTGGGGGGGGGGGGGGGGCTTTCTGAAGTTTCAAATAACCATGCATCGACATTCTGAGCAGTTTGTCTGTGAAATCATCACGATTTTTGGAAAAAAGACGGAATGTTCTTGTATAGGCATGTCAAATCTAAAAATCTCATTTGTCCTCAAATATGCGCCATTATCTTTATATATCCGCCAAAATTATGAGGATGATTGTATGAAATGCCTTCTCCCTATCGCGCGCCGCGATAACGCCTTGAAAATGAAATATGTTTTAATCGCAGCCTGATTATCTTCTAGCCCGGAGCATATACGACTGGCAGAGGAGGGTGAGCAGCGAAAAGAACCTTTGGATTCCAAGACCACAGCGAAAAGAAAAGAGCTGATTTGGCACGACGTTACCGAGCAACTGGACATAACAAGTACGAATATCTCAGGCGTTTTTTAGACATACATGTATTTAGCTGCCTACCTGCATGATTATGCACATTAGCAGTTTATGTTGAGTAGGTATGGAAGTGGTTAAATTGTAGATATATCCCTACATAGTTGTAAAACTGTGCAAATGTAGGCAAATAGTAACGACTTATTAAGTAACGAGTAGAGTATGTGTTCGGTCACATGACCATCTGTCCTCAATGTCTGGCTGTTATCAAATAGTATACATAGGTACAATGGATGTGTACATACAATGTGCATTGTGCAATGTAGACGTGTGCATGGATCCGAGTGATGGATTAATGTCAGTGAATCTCAAAAGTCAAAACAAACGACAAAATAGGATAGGTGATCACATTCATGGATTCCTCATAGAAGGTGCATCCTAGATCTATGATCTCAAATGATCTGACAGTGATGACAAACCAAAAACATGTATCTATTATCTGAGTGGATACTACCATATGCACCCTTTAAAATCATTTATCCATATGATTTCATGTCAATTAATGTCACAGTGAATAATGATTAGTAATCATATAACAGGGTGTCCGGAAATTGATTGCACACTCTTCTAGTCCATTTGACAAGGAAACAAAACATGCATGGGTCATGGCTTATATACCGATACACGCTCCACCCAGTCGCACACACTCCCTCATACGGTCGGGCATGCCGCACATCACGTTATCCAGAGTCTCCGCACTGATGCTGAGCCACGCTCGCTGGAGTTTCCTGATAAGCGCCTTCTCGGTGGTAGCCGGCTCCATCATGTCGAGCTCGCTCTGCACGATAGCCCACACGTTCTCGATGGGCGACAGGTCAGGGCTGTTGCCCGGCCATACACCCTTCTCCCAAAACCCTGGGAGGTTGTCCCGGCACCACCGTTGAGTGCTGGTGACGTGATGAACTGGAGCGCCGTCTTGCTGGAAGATGGCCTCGGACATCTTCGAGAGCAGCTCGACCTGTGCTGGCGGCCCCGCCTGCCTCTTTCGTTTCATCGCCGACGCTGCCGACTTTTTTAGGGACCTCCTCCACGCAGTACTGGGCCGTCACGGTCTGCCCGCGGGGATGATCTGGAGGTCTGACAGGCCCTGATGTCTCATCATGGCCCGGACCTTGATTTTCAGCGGCTGCTTCACAGTGTCGATGGCAGGCACTTGAGCGCTGCTGTGCACCTAGACGCGCTCGATCTGGCGATTCGGTGGGTGCACGAGCTCGAACACCAACTCAACTCATCGCTGAACAAGACCAATCTGAACATCGCCAGTCCTGGATGGTCCAGTTTTTCCGTTCCTGGAAAAATGCCAGCTGTTCCCGCTTCTGGGCTTCGGTCAGTTTTGGCTGGCGGCGCAGTTTTAGCGGCTTGAGACCCAAGCACTTGGTCATGTAGTTGTGAACAGTGGTCTTCGACACCGGGCGACCCCTTCTCAGTCAGCTTTTTTGTCAGTTTTCGCGTCGATTGGCGTCGTTTCAGCACGGCTTGGCGAGTACGATTTTGGCCACTCTGCTCAGCACAGTTTTTCTCACACGACCCTTGCGATTCTCCAGTGATGCATGTGTGATCCAGTGATCACGCCCAGTAATAAAGGGTCCGGCGAGATACATCCACTTGTCGGGCAACATCGCCTACCGTCATCCCGGCTTCAACTATCCCAACCGCGCGGTGGCGCGTCGCCAAAGTGTGCTCACTCACAATTCCCGACATGGGGTCCGCGCGCAAAGACTGCCTCTCGGAAAGTGACCTGTGGTCGCTCACTGCGGTTGAGGTCAGGCCACCTGCTAGGTCATATGATCAACTGACACTCATGGGTGCCCGGGGGCGGGGTCGCGATCCTCCCTAGCCGTTTTGTGCGAGCGTACGGCATATGGACACGCCGGACAGTGTGCAATCAATTTCCGGACACCCTGTACAGGGTGTCCCAAAAATAATATCACACCTTTCCAGCGTCAATTTCATGAAAATAACAAAAATGAGAGGCGCATTTTTCTTACATATGCATCCCACCTTCTCCCTGATGCGGGCAAGCATACGGTCCGGGACATCAGACACCAACATGTCCAGCTTCTGTGGACTGATCTTGGACCAGACAGATCGAACGTTCCTGGTCAGCGTGCGTTCAGGTTATCCTGGCGCCGTTTTGCTCACCTCTTACAGGACGATCGCCGAAAGATTTTCTATCGGCGACAGGTTGGGGCTATTCACTGGCCATTTGTACTTCTCCCAGAATGCTGGGAAGTTCGATCTGCTTCGGATCAATGATTCCAATCGATCTTTCGACGAATAAGATAGCTGGGTCTATGATCTGTTTGGATCCTCGATCAAGATACGTGGGATCAGATCTGAGATCCATTTTGTCGGATCCGTGAACATGTCTTGTAAGTACAATGCACAGCCCTCTGCAGACTGCGTGGTAGGTATTCTTTTTTCGACAAAACCGATAATAACTCAAAGGCTAAGTTATCGGTCGGTCGGATCCATGCTCCACTCCTTCGATTGGTTCTATCACTGTACGAAGTATACAACTAGTGTAGCAACAAAAAAATGCAAAAGTTTGTTTTGGGGGCAAATATAAACTTTTTGTGTTGTTGCAAAACTAGCCGGAAAATGTATACCCAAATAAGCCCAATCTAAGGTGCGGAGTCTCGCGCGTCTTGCTGTTACGATTTCCGAATGACCGTTAGCATAGTATTCGCGTTATTCTCGGTTTTGTCGAAAAAAAGAATACCTACCACGCAGTTTGCAGAGGGCTGTACAGCCCTCTGCAGACTGCGTGGTAGGTATTCTTTTTTCGACAAAACCGATAATAACTCAAAGGTTATGTTATCAGTCGGTCGGAACTCACTGCAAAATAGATGCGCCATGCTCCACTCCTTCGATTAGGTCTATCAATATACAAAGTTTACGCCTTGTGTGGCGACAAAATGCAAAAGTTTGTTTTGGGGGCAAATATAAACTTTTGGGTTTAATTGCCGAACTAGATGAAAAATGGATACGGTGATGATGCCAATCTAAGGGGCTGGGTCTAGCGCGTCTTGCTGTTACGATTTCCGAATGACCGATAGCATAGTATTCGCGTTATTCTCATTTTTGTCGAAAAAAGAATACCTACCACGCAGTTTGCAGAGGGCTGTACATGCAATGGTGCACATGCGATTCCCACTGAAATGCTACAATTTTATTTCTTTATAGGGGACCGAGCAAAACAGCAGCGGAAAGGCACAAAAGACAATTATCGCAGCGTCCGTGCCAAGCCGCGCTCCCTGCCTAGCGGACCGGCTGCAGTAGCCTTGGCGCCGCTTCAAGAGCAGCAGAAGCTGTACCTCTGTACCTTGGGCGCGGGCTCGGATGCCAAGGCGTGAGTATGGCTTAACTTGTCTTCTGGCAGCCGGTATTACTCCTCGAAGCTCGTAACATGTTCTTTACTTAGGCTCACCCCAGGATCGTAACTCGAGGCTTCGTACCATGTTACGAAATCATCAAAACTACTTTGTAAGTGCTCAAATGTGTGCTAAATTCGAAATGAGCTCCAAAACTACTTTTGAAACACGTAAAACTCCATAAAGTGAGCCAAGGTCAGCAAAGGTCAACTTGACCTGACCTCTAGGTGACCTTGACACTCACTGCAATGCATGGGACCAACATCATTTCACATGTTTGAATGTTTACAACTACAAAAATACTGGAAACACGCGGTTACTGTGAGCCGACAAACGCCGAATCGCGACTCCGACCAAACATGGTCTCAAGAAACAGGTCACACATCAAAGGCCATTTGGGTCAGGGTCATGACCCCTCCCCCCTTGGCTGGGGCATACGTAGAAAACTAATAGGTCCGGCGCGGGTTGAGTTAGATTGTGCGCTAAGCAGTTATGCTCTATTTGATTTATTGCTAAGATCAGACGGTTTTTCCATTTCAGTACCTGCCCGAGTCTCCGGGGGTCGCACTCTGAGTTGACGCATCTTGACGCCGCAGAAGGTGCCGGAGGGGAAACAGCGTACACTCCAACACCTGAGCGCAGCGGCACGGAAACGCCCAGTGCTGTGGCACCAACAGGGGTGTCTTCGACGCTGGATCAGCTGAACGCAAGGGAAGAAATAGCAAAGAAAAGTAAACACGCGGGTTTTTTCACTGAACTAGACCAGATGCTGGAACGCATGGGAGAGCGCAAAGCGTGTGAGTTCAAAGCTAGAGTGTACGCGGAGGCCGTGAAGACTGCTTTCAATTTGTAGCTTCTAGCTGAGTGGGCCATACCGAAAGCTACATGTTTTGTCGTGCACTGTTTCAATTCTGTTCAGCCTGGAAAGTTGACCCATGATGTATTGTGCTTTGTGAAGTTCATATACCTACCTAAGTTTATAGCTTGCGGGAATACGCGAGATTGTACATTGTATTGTATTTTATTATATATTTTCATCAACCTCTTCCGTGCGAACACAGTTTTTTTCGGAGGTTCGAGTCATACACAGCTAAGAGAACTTAAAACTATACATGGAAACAATGATGGCACATACAGGCTCCCACCCAATCAGAACTTTCAGGTGATTAATTTTGACCACTTCTATAAATCATCCTCAGACGGCTTTTGAACTGCCCGATCGACGAGCTCTGCAACACAATCTTTGGCAGTGAGTTCCAAGAGGTAGCGGTGCGGTACGAGAAAGTACTCTGGGTGGCGACGAGTCTCACTCTAGGCAGGTCAAATTGCTCAGACCGGGCGAGGCGGGTGTCACGGGAGGCTGTGTCGCGTCTCGGAGTAAATAACCGGCGCATCGCAATCGGGGTATCCGGATCATGAAGCGCACGATATACACGAATACAGTCCCGTTCTGAAATCACATCGTCAAAGTTCACCCAGCCAAGAGACCTGAGCACGGGAGACATGTGCTCGGCTCGTCGTGCGCCAGTGACCACACGGGCTGCGAAATGCAGCAGCTTTTGTATGCGCTTCAACTGGCTGCTGCATGCACTAGCCCAAACTGGCAAACAGTACAGGATGTTCCCCTTTCGCATTTCGTTGACCGTGAGACAAAAGAGAATCGGCCCGATAATCAATTCCTGAGGGACGCCACCGGGAGCACAGTGGTGCCGCCGCGAACCACCTGTCTCCGATCACTCAGGTAGCTGGCAAACCAATCAGACGAGATGCCGTACCATCCCATCTTACTGAGAAGGACGCCGTGGTCGACGCTGTCAAATGCCTTACTAATATCCAGGCGTGTTATCTATGCTACGTGACCTGAGTCGATCTTCTTCGAGATCCTCTCGACAGCGTCGACCAGGGCGTCCTCTACGCTGTGTCTGCGTCGGTAAGCATATTGTGTGTCACTCAGTATGCCGTTATCGCATAGGTAAGCCGATAGCTGGTCGCACACCACTCGCTCACAAATCTTTGACAGTACCGACAACAATAAAATTGGTCGATAATTTTTGGCAGTGTTGACATCGCCGGACTTGTGAATCGGTACAGCAAGCGCAACTTTCCATTTCAACGGGAACACGCCGGTCCTTATCGTTGCGTTAATCAGGTGGAGAAGCATCGGACCAACCACAGGGAAACATTTCCGCACTGCATGCATAGGCACACGGTAGAGTCCTACCGCTCTGGAGCCACTCATACCCCTAGCTGATAGCTAATGACAGCTCCGGTAGTGTGACGGGCTTTAGCTTGAAAGCGGACGAGCACACGGTAACGGGACGCGGCGCACTCTGTTCTACGGCAACACGATCAACATCGGCAGGCAGCTCATCAGCGACACGAGCCCCGATCGAGGAAAAGTACTCGTTAAACGTGTCTGCGTGTTCTGGTCCCATCGCCAATGGGCGGGCCTCCACCGCACATCGCACCCGATCGAATGGCGAATTGCTTCAGCCGCCGCCAAAAGCCGCAATGGTCCTGGTGAGCCAGCTGATCGCAGAGAAACTCCCTGCGTGCGCCGGCAAGCTTGCTCTTCACCTGGTTCCGGAGGCGGTGCTAGATGGCGCGGTCTTCTTCCGTCCGGTAGGAACCTACTGCAGCCAGTCCGTGTGAGCGGCGTCCCACTCGGCCATCAGCGCCTGGAGCTCGGGGTTTTCCTTAAGCCATGGACACCCAAGCGGTGCCGATCTCGTCCGAAAGGTCGGGCAGCGACGGTCCATGACGGCGTCCCAGATGGTCATGAACTCGTCCAGTTTGGCGTCGACGCCGACAGCTCGAAACATATCACGTCTTCGACGTTGGAGATAGCCTGAGTAATGTTGAAATGAATGTTAAATATCAATTGTGCTAATGCACATATTGTAACCGTGCATTGTCTTGTGTAGCCCTCCCCGACAGAGGAGGCAGTGGTGCCGCCTTCTTTTGTAGGTAGGGGGCTCTGGCGCTGTAGCTCAACGGGGTGAAATGGCGGGATGGTTGGGCACTGCCCTCTGTCGGAAGTAAAAAAGCAAGCCGATAGGTTTAGCGATGGTCCAAGCACTAAGGTATCCCAGTAAACATGCCGACGTCGGTCCGACGTCGGGATGACGTGGGCATCTCTGCATCGGCATGCCGACGTTGGCCCGACGTCGGTCCAACCTCGGCACGACGTCGGCTGGATGTCGGGTATGCCCGCATGTACCGACGTCCAGCCGAGGTCCAGCCGACGTCGGGCCGACGTCGGACCGAGATCAATTGCCGAGGTCCAGCCGACGTCGAACCGACATCTGACGCTGTTTTGACCGTTAAAATAATATAAAAAGCATGTTTCATGCTTCATAAAGAGCTTCTGTATTCAAAATATCCTCAGGAAACTCAAATCTTCCTCCACGCCGCAACCCCCTGATCCTCCGGACTGGACGGGAAACTGTATCCCATTTGGGATTGCCCGTAAGCCGAGCTCGCCCGTAGCCGGGTGCGGTGAGTGCTTGGGGGCTGCTCGGCTCGGCCTATCCTTTGGTCAGGCTCAGCCCCGGCAACTCACCAGGGCCGGGCCCAGTTCATACCTATAGAAAGGCCAGTCGGCAAGTGTCACTTTGCCAAAGTGCCACTTATCAAAGGGACACTTTGGGAAACGTTTGTGCAGGTGTGTAAGGGTGGCTATATGAATCCATTTGTGGGGTCGCCCAGGGGCGGCGCCACGGGTTTTCGATAGGGGGGGACGGGGACCTTGCCTGACCGAAAATCCCAAAAGTAGATACTGATCGTGTATGCAAAAAAAAAAAACGAGGCACGTAACGCCGCGAAACTTGGCAAAGCCCAAAACACATCGAATGGTGCATCCCGTTTCCAAACTTATCCTAGGAAACCTAAGATCGATCACCTTTTCAAGCATCCTTGCCTCTAAAGTCTAAATCAAAATTTGCAGTCTTGCCAACTCAAAGCTGGTTTCCTACAAGCTGCGAATTGCTTAGGTATGAGTAGCAGTGCCAACTATTCTTACGTTTCGTACTTTCAAATTTTCGATCTTACGTCTGGTCAGCTTTATGGCTTCACCATCAAATAGTCATGGAGGAAAAGTGGGAATGTCTTCTGCTCTGACAAGTGCGCCAAAACTGCTATATAATTTCAGAATCATGACATCACCACCTGATCCATATGCAACGGGCAGGGTGCAGCTAATGGCTAGCCGTCAGTGGTCATGTCATCGGTGGTCACTCAAAAGGTCATGCTAGGTCATGGAAGGTCACCAGCCGTTATTTGATCACACTTCCTGATGGATTTTCTTACCAAGAGCTTCGCGGAAAAAACGAGCGCATGCACCGTTGAAAAAAAAATGAGTGAAAGGGTCTCAGGTCCGACGACCTCTGCAGGTGAAATGCCCCAGGTTGGATTCCGGTCCTTGTTGATTAACTTCGTCAAAAATGGCAGTAGAGCTGTGATGTCGGCACCATTGTGTTCGTCATGATCGAGCTGGCACGACCTGCATCGTTCTCATATTCACCCTCCAATCGTAACAACTACAGCAGGGATTGGCAAATGGCGGGGCACCCCCTTTGGGAGGTAATGAAGGTCTCTGGAAACCTCATCCCTCATCTCTTTAGCATTAGTGGCTCTCCTTATGGAACAGGTCTCTTGGCTGGTCTGTTTCACCCCAGAATTCAAAGACTAGTCAAGGTAAAACCGAGCGCACCACAGTGAGCACAATTTGATAAGCTGGTGTAGGTATCTCAATTTTCATGTAGAAACTTTCACGTATCACGTACCTAAAACCCTTTCGTGCACTCATGCAAAAGCAACTGCCATGTTTCAACAGCTGGTAATGGCATTTTCACAGCCGCTGACGTAAGAAGGGGAGGGGGGGGCTCGATTAGACCCCCAGCCGTTCGGCCGCCCACCGAACTTAGTTTTGAAGAAAAAAAGAGTGCTATCGAACCCCTTGACGAGAGGGAGCCGATGCTACCCAATTATAAGGTCTTGGGCTACTGCGTGCTTTTTGGTCCTGCCTGTAATCTATCCGAACACTTCTCCCCGGACCCCAAGTGCTGGGGTTAAATGGCATAGATTTCAAATGGTTCCTGTGGTAGAACTGCCATGCTTGAATTTGACTTACATATTAGGAATGGACAATATCCATAGAGTAACGGAAATCTATTGAATTTCAGTAGACTTGGTTTTGTCGGCAATGGGGTCTGGCAGTGGGGTGGGGAGGTAATAACCCTGTGCCTGGCGCCCCAAAAAGGGGGGGGGGGCACGATCCCCGCTACCGATCACCTTATAACTACAGGCATCACAGCTCCACACCTTTTGCAGATGACCAGGACCCCCTGCAATACATCCCAACAGCAATTTTTATTCAGAACCTGCCTTGATTAACCAACGATGCATTAAATGCGACAGATAACTCTACAATGCGTTATGATCAACTATTGAACGGGCCTCGCCGATAGGGGGGTACTGTACCCCCCTAACTTTCGATAGCGGGGGACCTGTCCCCCCCGTCCCCCCCGGTGGCGCCGCCCATGGGGTCGCCCTTTCCAATAAGTGTCACGTAACAGCAATGGGTTGGGACTCTATATGAACTGGACCCAGGGTGCTCGCCAAGAAGACCAATGTCTCCATCCTATCATCCTTCCGGCTCTGAAATGGTCTTGTCAGACCGAAAGGGCATAACCCAACAAAACAAACTAAATTCGCTATCTCGCTGCGTGGTGTAGTGGTTAGCGCACTAACCTCGCGTTCAAATGACACGGGGTTCGAATCCCATCGCCGGATGATGCTTTTGGCGCGTTGTCCCAGTAAACATGCCGACGTCGGCGACTGGGGGGCTCGAATCCCGCCGCCGGTTCATGTTTTTGGCGCGTTGTCCCAGTACACATGCCGACGTCGGCCCCGTCGGTCCAACTACAAACGATCTCGTCAACCTCGGCAGACGACCTCGGCCCGACGTCGGCTCGACGTCGACTGGACTTCGGATGGACGTCGGTACATGCGGGCGTACCCGACGTCCAGGCGATGTCGGGCCGA